CGAAATCATCAAGTATGAGAGGAGTATTTATGTCTGAATGAAACTTCGAGCAATTCGATTATTTGCACATACGAATACTCGAATATAAAAAAGCGATTTATTCTCTTATTCGGATATTTGGATATTCGATCATGCCCAATTCGATAATTCGGATCAGGATCCCCTACTCGAACATTCGAATTCGAACACATTTTCAATGGCCATTCGAATATCATTAATTCGTTCGAACATTTTTATTACGGACGAATATTTGATATTCTTTCATTCGGGAAAATTTCCAAATGTTTCAAATATACCAATCAATCGCACGTGCTCTATCGAGCGTACTACTCAGATACGCACACCACACTCAAATAGGCTATGTTGTGCATGGGCGCAGCGCGTATGGCGACGATTAGTTCTGCTACGCCTGACACTGGTCCTGCCGTCTGGGCGCGGTCCTGCACCTGATAGCTTTCAGAGACAAGTTATTTACAGGAACTTAAAGTAATCGGTCTCTGATAGAGGCCCTTAGAATCTAAGATTTTTGACTAACAAACCTTTTTTTGTTTATAAAAATTTCGTTTTTCTTTGATCAAGCAGTTTTACACATCATTTCACCGAACTAACGGAGCGATAGCCAGCTCAAGTCAATCGCTCTCTACTTTGTTAGATCCTGCCTCATCTCAAGGAAGTAAAGACGCTCCAAGCAAAAACCATGCAAATCGACTTGTTTGAATACGTTACCATTAGCTGTAAATGGACGTCATAAATTTGCTTTGTATGGTAACTGGAGACCTTGCGCCTATCCTGATTTTGTTGTAGCACTGAAGCGCCGATCATCACGTTGTAACAAAAACTTGATGGAATTTATCTTCATCACCAATTAAACAACACCAAGCTTGTACAAAGTCCAGAATTTCACCTATCCAAACATGCGACTTGCGACAGAAATGCTAACATTGCGAAGCTGCAACTCAATTTCCTTAATTTAAAAGGACTGTCTTGTCATTAATAACAATACGCGTAATTTGTCCTTATGTGTGTTTATTTCTTTGCCTGTCACAAAATTGGTTCATTGGTTCTAATTGTAAGAAAGTCAATTGAGCAGTTATCAATTTATTATGCCAACTAAAGGACTTTGAGTAAACATGGGCAATTATGTTGTGAGAACGTGATATTTGTGTTCGTTTACTTTTGCTATGGAGAGACTCAACGGTTGGGAAAGATAGCCTCTGCGCTTTCTCCTTCAACACGGCGTTGAGAGGTAAGGTTAAAGGCTCAAAATTTTTAGCATTGATGCCTTTTAAAATATTTATAAAAAATCTCCGACACAGTCCACTGCCCTTTCCGAAGGAGTGGTGAAACAAAAAGTTTATACCGGCTGAAGGTCACAGCCATGTACTGGCATAAGGAAACGTAGAAAGAGGAGACTTAGAGCTGACAACGTAAACACTGCTTAAAAGCGTTTGCCACATCTATAGCTTTTGGCTAATTGCTGCCGTACCACCAATCATGAACTTTCTTAAACCGCAACCCGAGGTTTTTCTTCGTTACCCTTCCTTTTACTTCATATACCTCCACAAATGGAGGAGCTAGAGTCGTCTTTTTTCACATTAAACTGAATTTGTTAACAACATAACCATGATCCAACATGTTCAGAAGCGCCTTAAATTTTAGGGAGGTCATAGCTTTCGCGCCTTAATTGCTTATATTTTTCTTTTTGGGACCAGCCAAGAGCGGAAAACGGGGAAAATACAGAGAAAAACAAAGAGATTTATGGGATTACAAGAGTGGTTACGTGGGACTGGTAGTAATCTCAAACGAAAGTCAAGCTTGAGAATGAGATTGATAGTCATTTCTCCTATATTTAAATGAAAAACAACATTGAAGGAAAAGTCATTCTCGCATGTTTCCTTTAAAATATTCCCCTGAATTCATGATTTCCAAAAGTTGCGCACTTGTCTACGTTTTACAGCGCAATGTTGCAAATGCAATGATCTTAAGGTTGAGATAGCCTTGCCGCACTAAATCTTGAAACAGGTTTTGGTGCGTTCTTTGAAACAGTTTGCTGGTTGCTCAGTGGAAGACGCTTGATTACGTAAACAGTGTGCAATTTTGAGAGAAACGGGGCACTTTGCTCTGGTGGGTTATCTCGGCTCACATTCAACGAAACTCTCATTACACTTATATCATGCCGCTCAGAATCATATGTAAAATTCAGCTGACAACAGCGCAACTTTCATAAGTTTTAATCGTAACAAAATTTTCCCTATCTTCTCTTGATTTTCACTGCTTAAAGCTATTCGATCTACATTCATGCTTAATTAGATACTTATTAAGTACTTTAACCCGTCCTTACTCGTGGTGCATGTCCCAGCGTTGTTTCCATGCGTTCTCCGACGCCATCCATGATGCTGTATTGAACTGCGGCGGCGACGTCCGCAAGATCCAGATCTAGTAATCGTTACTGAGAATTCAACTGGAACTGCGAAGTCCGACGAGATGTTGAATGCGTTGTGATTGTGGTTCACAACACGTCGTTTCAGCGCTCTGTGAGTTGTTAGAAGAGCCTTCGACGTAGCCACAGAGTGAGGCCGTCTGTAACGATTCTGAGCCAGGGAGAACGGCCGAATCGAAGAGGTGGAAACCGAGCTTTAAGTCAGCTGGTCTGTGGCTCCCTAAGCTCAAAAGCGTCTCCGCTAATGTCGCCCGCAAAATGAAGACTCGAGAGGATTCTCCGTATACCTCTCGTTCCCCAGTGATTTCATCACCCACTGCAAGACTTTTCGGCAGCACGGCTCCCCTTGTCGAACTCCTTTCGAAATTGGTACATTAAGGGGGCGATGGAAAACCTGTACCGTTGTAGAGCAGTCCTCGTAGCAGTCACCCAATGTCCTCACGGAAAAGGGTCCATCCTTAGGACGTCGAGCGCTGACAATATGGCATTAGTCTCGAGCTGTCGAGCGCTTTCTCATGGTCGACGAAGGTTAGGACAAGAGGTAAGCGGTACTCTCGGCAAACCTCGATAATCCTCAAAACCGTTTAGATGTGATCTACGCAGCTGAATCCCTTGCTAAATTTGAAATCCATTCTACAGGTTGGGCTTCATCCAGTGCCCTTGATATGAAAATGATTTTCGAGAAGAGCGTAAAGCACGCTCAGCAGGCATTTTGGACGGTGCTTTCGAAGATCCTCTCCATCGCCCTTTTTAGAAAGGAGGATTGTTCGGGTTCTCCACTGGTCCGGGACTTTTCCTTGTGAACGCTAGGTGTGCCACGAATATCTCGTGTAGGCGATGTCCTCCAGCTCATAAGAGGTTGGCCGAAACACGGTCCGACCCCGGAGCCGTGGCTGCCTTCATGTTCTGGATTGCGGCGCGTACTTCAGCAAGTAAAATTCGTGGTAATATCTCCTCAATGAGGATAAGGGACATGGAGCGGAAGGGATAGGTGCAGAATCTCTTCGTGATCGATTCCATCTTTGTCGGAAAGATGTGCGACTCTCCTGTTTTCGTTTAATGTTGTCAGCTGTACGGTAGTCATAAGTCTCAGTGGTCCTTCTTTAGAGTTTTTCTTCATTGTACTGCTTCCAAAAGTTTCGATTGCCTCTACTTTCGAAGAAGTTCCTGCAAAGCTTTGTGCTACTGATATTCCGTCATTGCTCAATGTGATGCAGCCGGACCCAGCCTCAATGCTCTCCTTTTCTCAGATTTTGGGGGATTTTAAAATTTACTCTATGTTTCTTGTTCGAGGCATCGAGGCACCTTCACCACATGCACTCAGTCGTCTGAGAGGCAGATCGTAGTCTTTCTTTGAATCCTCCTCGATGGGCCAGTTGCAGGTGGGCAGGACTTCCAATCTTACGCTTATACGACTTCTCTCCTTCCTCCATTACGACGACAGATCTTCTTTTCGGTTGAAGCGTACTTGCTCGAAGGAGACGTTGATCTGAACCACTGCTGAAGGATGGTACCATTGAGACGTCTAGTAAGCAAAAGCTTCTGGTAAGAATGTGATCGATCTCCGTGATTCGCGTTGAGCGATTCCCATGTCCACCGTTGTTGTTCTTTCCTCTTGAAGATGAAGTTGCCATAAAAGAGTACTGCGGCGGATGATAGCCCAAAAAGACGGTAACCATGTCCATTCATTTCGAAGTCCTGATCCGAATCTCCCAATCCTTCTCCCCCCTGTTCTGGCATCCTAACTTTCGCGTTAGGTCGGACAAATTTGTAGAAGGAATTTTCTTTGCGTACGATTTCCTCCAATTCTTCATACAGAGCTCAGTTCCGAGTCATC